TTTTTCTTTGCGTCTGTTTTTCAAAGAGGTTGCTTGGCTGGCACACTAGGCGTAGCACGCGAGCACCATGAGCGCCAAGCGGCGCTGAGAGCGCCAAATAGGAGCTCCCCACATTCCGTCCTGGGCCCATGATTTCCCTCACCTCCTGCGGCATGATCCATAATTTCGGGCTCGACCCCTCCGCCAGCCTGCCCTTTTTGAGCCATGGCCCATAATTTCACGAAATCACAATTAAGGAGTACTCTTTGCAAATGTCATTCCCATCTCTCCAGGATGCAATAGAGGATTTTTTTTTCTTTTTCCGTAGATCTGTTTATTCAAAATGTTTTATCCCCTAAACTGTGCGTCCAAATTTTGAACCATGTTCACTGTTAGATTTTTTGCATCGAGATCTTCAAAAATAGATACCATATTGATAGGGTTCGATGATTTTTTTCACAAAAAGTATAAAAAACCAAACCGAAGCATGTTTTCTTTCCTAATTTTTCCCTTTTCCCAAAAGGCACAGTTGTGCCTCTCATGGAAGCAACTCTGTTCCTCCACGATAAGCAAACCAGTGTCTCTCATGGAAAAAAAAAATCATTTTTTTCTTTTCCTGCCTATTTGCGGAAACAAATCTGTGCCTTCACGAAAAGTAAATCTATGCCTCTTGCGGAAGAAAAAAAACACATTTATTTTCTTTTGTCGAGAGGCTCACGGAAGGAAATTTGTGCCCTCAGCCCCTCATGTGAAGTAAATCTACTCTCATGAAAGACCGAGAGGCACACCTGTGCTTTTCGCGGAAGAAAAAACAAAATATGTTTTTTGCCCTTTTCCTAGAGGCACAGTTGTGCTTCTCGTGGAAGCAAATTCATGCCTCCACAGAAAGTAAATCTTTGCCCCTCGCGAAAGAAAAATAAAAGAAAACATGTATTTTTTTTCTTTTTCAAGAATCACGGCTATGCCTATTGAGGAAGCAAATCCGTGCCTTCTTAGGAAGTAAATCTGTGCATCTCGCGGAAGAAAAGAAAAAAAGAAAAAGCATTTTTTGGCGCAAGTTTTTTTCCAAAACCTAAGGAAAAGGAAAACTGAGAAAAAAACAAAAAATCTCTAAAAGCCGAAAATACGTGCATAATACTCAGTTTTCGTTTTCCTTAAGATTTGGAAAAAAATTGCGCGAAAAAAGCTTTTTCTTTTTCTTTTCTGATTTACTTCCTAATGAGGCACATATTTACTTCCTCAATAGGCATAGCCGTGACTCTTGAAAAAGAAAAGAAAAAAACATTTTTTCCAAAACCTAAAGAAAACGAAAACTATGAATACTCCTCAATGATCGCCCAACACGCCGAGGCTCCCTAAAGTACTTCTTGACACTTATGGCGACTTGTCAATCTCAAAATCTACTAATTCAGTTTGTTGTTGAAGATACTCATAGGATATGGTGTGCGTGGTAAGTTTATATGTACGAGTGTTTGTGTTGTATTTTCATTTCTTTAAAGGAAGCGACTAACCACCAGTCGACTGGTCGCTAACCATCAGATCCGCACGATACTTTCGATGGCTGAAACAACGCTTCACATCTAGGTGCAATCTCGCATGCAGCATTGCGGTGCAATCTTCCATACACATATTTTGTTTTGCATGGAGTGCACGTCCTATTGAACCCAATTAACAATGCATGCATGTAGATAAGAAAAAAAGATGATGTCAGCAAAGATTCCATTAGAAATTAAACTTCAAGATGTTTTGTAGCTCAAACCGTTGGTCCGATTGAAAAACCTTTTTCACATAAAAGATTCGTCGCGACGAAACCTTCAAAACTAGATCCCATGTTGGTATGTTTCGATGATTTTTTTTCGGGTGAAAAGTTACCAGACCTAGGCTAAGTAAGTTATCACCTATGTGGTACGTCAGTTACCATCATGTTTACATGGAAATTACCGGGGCGTAAAAATTGCTCCTCCAACATTCTCTCCTCATGCAAAAACAGTAGAGCACAGAAAACCTGATGTAATTGTAAATCCTCACTATTTCGAAAATGTTTTATAGCTCAAACCGTCAATTTTGATTGAAAAATCGTTTTCATATAAAAAATCCACCACGATGAGAACTTCAAAACTAGATCTCGTGTTGACATGTTTAGATCACTTTTTTGGGTTAAAAGTTACTGTAAAGTTATCAGTTATGTTATATGTATATTAACATGTTATTTATACAGAAGTGACCGGAGATATGTTTTAAACAACTTCTTCCCCCTGGGTCAAATTTACTGTGGTATTTATATCTAAGTTATCAGCTCCCGGATGCATACATTACCGTTCTATTTGCACATAATGAACCGGGGTATGATTCAATAAATTTTTATTCGGGTATAAAGTTATCGCGTTGTTTATACCTAAGTTATCAGGTCTATGATGTGTGAGTTACCATGATATTGACAAAAGTTAACGAGGTATATTTCATCAACAACCCTCCGGCACTCCTCACCACCGCCGCCAAACTTACCAGGACTGGGGCACATAAATTATCTGATATGCGATGTGTGAGTTATCATGTTATTTACATAAAAAATTACCATATATTTCATCAACCACCCTTCGCCCACCCAGTCACCGAATTTACCAACGAGTGGGGTACATTAATTATTAGGTCTACAAGGTGTGAGTTACCGTGCTATTCACATAAAAGTTATCGGGGATATATCTCATCACCCCTCCCTCGCAAAAAGTACCAGGACCGGGATGCATAAGTTTCGGGTCTCTGATGTGTGAATTACCATGCTATTCACACGAAAGTTACCAGGGGATACTTGATCACCACCCCTCACCCCCCACACACACACCAAAGTTATCAGGTCTATGATGTGTGAGTTATCATGATATTGACAAAAAAGTTACTGGAGGTGTATTTCGTCAACAACCCTCCCCCACCACTCACCACCGTCGCCAAAGTTATTAGGACTGGGGCACATAAGTTATCAGACTGTGATGTGTGAGTTATCATGTTATTCACACGAAAAGTTACCAAGGGTATATTTCATCAACCACCCTCCCCCCACATGGTCACCAAATTTACCAAAAAAACTGGAGCACATAAGTTATCAGGGCTGAGA